CCTCAGGCATCCACCCCCCCCCCCGCCCCAGAGCGCTCACACCCACCTCCCAGGGTCCCTCCCGGAGCGCTTGCACCCACTTCCCTCAGCCTCCCCCCCCTAGTGCTCACACCCACCTCCCCAGGGCTCCCCCCCAGCACTCCATTCGCAGTCTCCAGCTGAGTAAGGGTCCATGGTGATGCCTCTTGTGCCAGCAAGGAGGTCAGTTCAGACAGAGGTCAGGCTCCTGCTGGAGGAACAGGGCAGCGGCCTTCTCCACCAGCCCTACCTCCTTTCAGGGTGTTGGCTCATGCATGCTCACCCAACATGTCTCTCCAGCCGTCTGGTCTGAGACGCAGCTGCACGGTGAACATGGTGGGAGGGCCAGCCCTGGCACCTCTTAGCTGTGGGGCTGTCCGAGGATAGTGACGGCCCCTGGGGCTCTGCCTGCTCTCATCTGCACTGTCCCTCAGGCTAGCCGTTAGGGTGTGGACAATGCTCTTGGAAACGCAAAAAATATTTTCAACAGTGATTTTTTTATAGTTGCAGATTTTCTCTGGGGACATTTACAGCCCAAACCCATGACTGGAGTCACCCCAAAAGCTCCAGCAAGGGAGTCCTGCCAGGGAGTGCCACAAACCTTCCCAAGATGGGGCTGGTGGGTTTTCAGAAAAAGAGTGCCAGGTGGCCAGACCCAGGAACCTAGTAGGGGACTTTACACACAGAGGGCCTCAGCTTCCTGGAGGGACAGCAAGGTGAGGTACCCTGCTCAGGTCAGCCCACAGTGGCCAGAGCTGGCTGTGAGGTCTGCGTGAGCGTCTAAGGCAAGGGCTTGGCTCTGCTGGGAGCCACTGTGTGGCCAGCTCAGGGTGACTCTCTCAGTGTTTTCCAGCAACAACTTGAACAGCTTTCTGTTCCTGGGAATGTTGAAGGCCTTCTGGGTTAGGTCCTGCAGGGAGAACAGTGGCCAGGCCTTAGAGAGACCAGAACATTCTGTCTTTCCATCAGGACAAAAAAGAAAGTGTGTGTGGGGGACAGCAGGAGGAGTAGTATTTAAGGTATGGACTCCCCCATGGCCAAGCGTAGTCTGAGTCCTGGACTTGTTGGTTTCAAACTCACACCAGGCGTGTGTGCCCAAAAGCCTGAGAAGAGAATGGAGAAGGGACTGCAGCATGGTTTTACCCCGGGAGGTGATTTCTCACTTTTTTCTTCTCTGGGGAGCACATGCGCCCTATAGCAAAACAAAACAAAACAAAACAAACAAACAAAAACTCTCAAGAAAGAAAATAAAGTAAAAAGAAGAAAGTGGAGAATATGAGGGGCCGACAAAGCCAGTGCAGACTGGGACTGCTAGGAAGTAGTGCAGGCTGGCCCAGAGCAGGGCGAGCAGCCACTCAGTGGGCATGCAGGGTTGGGAGAGGTGTGGGGGCCTAGAGGGCTGCAGCACAGGAAGGTAGCTGCCTGCCCCAGACAGGGCCAGCGGGGCAAGAACACTCTGGTACCTGCACCTGGACACTGGGTGCATGCTCAGACCTAGCTTCCCTCCTGCTCTGTGTTACCTGGTCATGACCCCCCCCCCAACACCACCACCTAGAGCCCTAGAGCGGCCAGATGGATGCTGGACTTTCTGGAAGTGCTGGTTCAGTATTAGGACCTGTGGGGCCTGGAGGGTCCTGGGAAAGTTGTCCTTCCCTGTCCTCACACGTGGGGACTCTCAAAGACGAGAGCCGAGAGCCTCTCGCTGCTCAGGTGGCAGTGCTAGGACCCCTCTGCCCCTCTACCTCGGACTCCCTGCCCAGGGGGACCTGACTGCACCCATCTTTTATTTTTCTGGTTGGACAGCTCTCACCGTGGCTGAGATAGAGACCAGAGATTTGGGTCACCGCTCCATCAGATGAGCAGTTTTGACAGGGCCCTGCCCACACTCCTGACGCAGGCCCCGCCCCGGGAACGCCCCTCGGGCTCGGGCTCCTCCCCCAGAAAAAGCCACACCTTGCGGGGCCCGGCCCGCTCCCCGGGCTCAGGCTCCGACCCTTTCCCCTGGCCCCCCTGCTGGCAACCACCGAGATGGTTAGGCCTCCGAGCAGCCTAGACTAGCCGGAACCCTAAGGCGGGACGGGACCGAACGTACGAGGCCCGTTTCCGGCGCGTAGGGGGCTTGTGAGTGCCGGGCGGTCCTCGGGGAGGGTGAGTCGGCGTGGCCGTTGTGCTCTTCGGCTCGAGCGAGCCC